ATAGAATAGATATATAGTTAGTAAAATATACATACTTACTTAATATATAATATAGGATAAATAATAATATATAAAATAACATAATACATATTAAAATACATTATATAAAATATTACTTATAAAGTGAAAGAGAGAAAAAAAAACAATAGTCGGATAGTTAGGTGGTATTATTCTTACGACAGAACTCTCAAACTAGTCTTTTAAAATAATTCTTATTATTAGTTTTCATGATATAAACAGACAAGGCATTCCAAAGCAGTATAGACTGTATAGTAAAAGAGGAATTAAAGAAACCACTCCTATGTGGTGGAATACGAATTTTAAGACAATTTTGGGAACGGGGAACTCTATCATTAGTAGAATACGAATATTGAAAGTTATCCTTAAGATAAGAGGGAGAAGTGGGGTCATTTAAAATTGAATGTAATACTGCAAAGTTCGGGAACTACGCCTTTGACGAATAGAGAGCCATTTAAGCTTAGATCGGTACTGGGAAATATGGACATACTTACATAAGCCGAAAATGAATCTAATGCAATTGTTGAGAAGGCGCTCCAACTTATCGAGAATATATTGAGATAGATCTGGGTAACACACATCCACATAATCAATAATGGGTAATATCAGTCTGGATTAGCAGAAGTTTAGTTTTAAAAGGCACAAAGTTTTTTAAGCCGACAAAGAGAATGTAAGGTGGCAGTTACTTTACGGCTTGTTTCGGCAACATGAACTCCCCAGCTTAAGGTATGGTCTATATGTAAGCCTAGATTTTTGACAGACTTACAAAATGGCAACAACATTCCATTGTAAAAGATGGGAGCAAGATTATCATGTCTTCATCACTAATTCAATATACTTGCATAATTGTATGCTTCTGAACCAAAACCGAAAAAAAATATTTTTGTACAAATATCATAATACTACTTATATGTAATAATAACCTGCTTCTGTGTTACTACTTTTTAGATATAGAAATATGAATATGAAAATTGCAAAAGCAAATAAGTTGCACAAAAATAATTCAAACTTTTTTAACACATGCGTTCTGTAATATGGAGCCCTACTGCTTAAACTGAAAACTGGATTATTAATTACCTGGCCGTGTATATCCCCACAAACCGTAACTGGCGTCTGAACCGGCTGAACGTTTGGTTCTTCAAACAACAAATCACACACAATATTACACAATTCCCGTAAATCATCTTCAGGAAGATATTTACACTTTTTCGCAATTTCTATCCACTTGTCCACGTCACTCATTTTTTTTTTTAATTCAGAAAGAAGGAATACAAAGTAATAGCTGGTTCACAGTACTTCTCCCCTTCTCACCATAGAGTAGAGTATTATATACAATACTTCTCACCAAGTTCTCACTTCCAAAAGTTTCCAACACTTTGACAATTGACAGCAGCTGACTGACCTTCAGTGTTGCCAACATTAAAATCTAGCTCCCGATGTAGAGAACACTATAATCCGTAGACAGAGAATCTGTCTACGCTATAATCCCCCCAACACCCGTCAAGTAGGGATTTTCGAGTTTTCGTTCCCCCTAAATATTAATAATGAATTGATTTGATATCGATTCTTGACCCACATGGATTATTTTTCAGATTTTAATCTACCAAAGTATATACATACATCCGTTTTATAATACCTGTAACCGTCCCGTTAAAAAATCCGTTAGCCGTTAAACACAATTTTTTCCCGTTGCCAACCTCGCTGACCCGTTAAATCTAGCGGGAAACTCATCAAGTTGGCATTACTGCTGACCTTGTCATGGAGGTTAGAGAACAGGAGAACGATCGCTGTAGAAAATAGTGTCACAGAAATATGGACAAATTAAGTGAAGCGCTGTGATCGCTAAGTTACATAAATAAAAGCGGCCTGTTGTGCGCTATAAAAGTTTTTTTTTTCTTTGAATGATACGACGGTTAAAAGGTAATAGGGTATAAGCAACAAAAACCAAATTGTCCAGGAGAGCAGTTTAAAGTTTGAAATTGCAGAAAAATGGACATAACTTTTTTATTTATTGTCATAACGTAAAAATATAAACAGCTCTAAAATCAACAAAAATGACAGCATTAATTGACTTTTTTATTTATTTGATTCGACATTGTTTTATCTGATTTTATGTCGCTTAAATCAATTGGTCCTATTTTCCATATGAGGTAATTTGACATAAGTTACATCTACACAGAAAGAAACGAAGAGTTGAGAAGACTTAGCTACATTTGATATCCGTATACCAAGCGGTAATAGGGCATAAGTCACATGACTGTAGAATAACTTAAATGGGTAAAGTAGGATATGTGACGATTCACATCATTATGCCAAAAGGTAATGGAGCTCAAGAAACAGTGCATAGCAAAAACATCGTAAGGATGTTAGACATTAGCGACACTGTAAGTGGGTTGAAAAAAACGCAACGTGGTACTTCCACACATCAAGATTTCTATACCAAGAGGAAAACGAGAACATCCAACATACGGCATTATATGGGCAAATAGTAATGTGAATTAAACTTCACGTCTTAAAAATAATAGATTAACAAACGACATGATTCCTCTTTAAAGTAAGACTTAAGTACATAACTGCATTCATTTAAAGGCCCATCATCATCATCGTTCGTAGTAGATTAATAATGCTCTATATATTATATAATAAGTATACTCTGACCTAATACTTCATGTGATTTAATGAAAACAAAAATACGTTTTTTCACTATTTATTAACAATTATAAAAGACAAAGTAGTTTTTACGATGTACTTAGTATCTACATAGTAATAAAAAAAAGAAGTAACTTAATGCAATATAATAATGTACTTCAAAAAATAAAGAATTTCTAAAACTTAGTACACTACGTACTCATAATCATTGACAAAATAATAACAGCCTTCAAGGCAACAATAATAAAATTATCTTGAAATATTTATTTTTACTTACAACTAAGCACCGTGCATTGTCATGCATAGTGACTGTTCAGTCATTCCCCATGTACTTATATAGCTATTATTATGAAAGTTTCTTTGGTAAAAATAATTATAAAGAGTAGGAAGGTAAAAGGAACTATTAATACTTAGTGGTTTTCAAACAAATTGACCTCATAACAACAGTTCTATTGTTTACAATTACTAACTTATCAGCTAATCGAGATCAATATTAAAATCAATTATTTACTTAATCAGTCTTTGTAAGGGATCTCCAGAAGATTAATTAAAGTAGGTCTTTGTTACGCAATAACCTGAAGAAAATTAAGGCACAGTCATCACAAAATAGTGTTACAGATAAGTTAACTATAATATATAATCATACTATTATAGATATATATATATAGATAATGTTGACCACATTATCTTCGATGTCAGTATCGGGTAAAGTATCTTTCACCTTTTTGTTGAAAGTTAAAGCTAACTACTCTGCCTGCAATTGTAGGGGTATAACTTGGTCTGAGCAAAGCTTTAATAAATCTTTGTGTTTATTTTCAGTAATTGGTAGGGGTGTAAGATAGTAGTCGGTAAGTCAAGAAACTTTGTTTTGAAGGCTATTTCAATACAGGACACAGGTGTTTCCGGATTCATAGAGCATTTAACCGTTGCTAATATACGATTCTTTTTGAAACTCGCGACTCGTATTTTACTTATTTTACCCACAAGATTTCCCACGAAATACTTGTCTGCGAGTAGGTCCCACCTCTTAAAATCTTTGTGAGTTAACTGCTCAACATGAAAGGGCTTTGGATTTTGTCTTGCTGTTTGGAATACCGTATACCACTGGAAAGGAGCCCAGATAGTGGTATTTTTAACCTGGTTTTCAATAGTCGCATGTACCGAATCGACTGTCATGTAGGTATGGACGGTAAGTAAAAAATTTATTTGAATAGATTCAAGAGTTCTGCATCGTTGCAGAGTCTCGTTCAGCATTGCAAGAACTATCTTGTTCCGATTTTGACCGGGACAGCAGTCACAATAAAGAAGAAGTCGTCTTATATTTCCGCGTTCATCAAGCTTCGTTATGTATTTGCTTAGTATTGTAGCCATCTCATTAGCACCGCGGTTACCCTGGCTTTCGTCCCAATAATAGCAATAAACATTGCGCGTACCATTTTCGTAAACAACTGCATTGTAAACGGCCAGCTTGCGTGTATAAAATAATAACATGCTATCGTTATACGGCATATAACATGCTATATCAAGACTTTTTGTAAGTCAAAACTTATGCAAATGGATGCTGAGTCTTTTAAATGAATAGTTTTGTGCATCTTGTAGCGATTGTATGTGTGGTCTTTCTCAATAAGGTGTTCTTCGTGAGCTCGTCGTTTTTCTGGTGTAGGATTATAGTTTTATTCATAGTTTTATTTTCGTACTGACAACATTTCAGGCATTTGTCTTTTTTCGGGATATGGAATGCTATATTAACTCTTCGAAACATACGTCAGTCCTTGAAAGCTACGATATTCTTTGTACTTTCTATATAAATTGGCAAAGCTTTTGTATTCTGCTGGAAGGTATGTTCGACTACTATCCTTCCTACAATAATGAGAAGGAACTGCCGGTAAACATTTTATATAGTTTTCAACCGCTGTAATTTCATCGTTGCTGGTTTTGTTGGGACACTTTTACCCCTTTCAGATTCTTTGGCACTACCAAACTCATCAGCAGTTGAAACCGTATAATAAATATATTTGTAGGACACATCGATCGTTTTGCACAAAAATTGCAGACATATTTATCGATGATCTTCACCATCAGTAATATTGTATTTGTATGTTATGGTGCGTTTTTTTGAATCCTTATTTCTCTTTCTTTTGATAGTAGTTTTCTGGGTTAGGCTGATGATCCAATCCTTTCTTCTCTGTTCTGACAGGCTCCAAAAATGCTTGAAAATGCTTATCCTTCTTTCTTCCGTTATATCACCGCAGTTGTTTCCACATTTCTTACCCGAACAATGGTTTGGTTGGACTTTTTTTTTGAACAACTTCTCCGTTTGTTTTAATGTAACTCTAACCAGATAACCGTTTTTGAGCAGCCTGTTTCCTCTTATTTTTAGGAACCTGTTTCGTCGCATTGTTACCAATAAACTCTTCTTCGACGTTAATAGTCATTTGCTTCCTTTTCTTTCCGTTTCTTTCCGGCTTCCACTCATCTGAGCTTCCTGCATCGCCAAAGGAATTTAGCAAAGCTATCTCATCGTCTGACATATAACCTAAATAAGAATGTTTCTTTGCTGGACGGGTGATTCTAAATGAGGACGATTTATTGTTGTTAGCGTCGGTTCCCAAAGATGTACCTGGAAGAACGTCCAACGGTTGTTGGGAAACATAAGATCGAACAAATTTTGGCGCGGAGTTTGGAATACTTGTTACTTCGTTGGACAATTCCATTGTAGGTGAAACATTATTGTTGATTTCAGTCGCAAAAGATGTGCTAGGAACATCTCGGAGCGATATACCTGAGAAATTTGTTTGTGACTAGCGGTGTGGAGTTCCAGCATGCAGCAAACGTAGCGTCCGGCACGGATCTCGTGAAGATGGCAGACGCAGCATCTGTAGCAGGGCTTGTGAGGACGGTAGACGCAGCGTCGGACGCGGAGCTCGTGAGGATGGCAGACGCAGCATCTGTAGTAGGGCTCGTGAGGACGGCAGACACAGCGTTGAGCACGGAGCCTGTGAGGGTGGCAGATGCAGCATCTGTAGCAGGGCTGGTGAGGACGGCGGACGCAGCGTCGTTCGTGTAGCTCGTGAGGATGGCAGACGCAGCATCTATAGTAGGACTCGTGAAGATGGCAGATGCAGCGTTGGGCGCAGAGCTCGTAAGGATAGCAGTTGCAGCGTCCGGCGCAGAACTTATGAGAATGGCAGGCGCAGGGTTCTGAGCAGGGCTTGTAAGGATAGCACACGTAGCGTTCGGAGGCGGCGCGAAGCTCGTGAGGATGGCAGACTTCTGGAAAAAAGGTAGGTAGGTAAAATAAAATAACTATATAGTGGTGTGAATGTGCACGAGTGTGCCTTCATGTAATGTGTATTTATAATACGTTTAATGTAGTTCCTGTGCTCATAATAAGAAATCGCAATATCCTTTCTGTAATACACACACATTTTTCAATACACTCATTTTTTCTTGTTACTCACGGCACTGTAAAAAATACTTGCGCATCTACAATTTCCTACATACTTTATTTACGAATATCTACTGTTCTTCATAAATTCATGTATTTAGTATTAACATGTTAAGTGAAGGAAATGTGAAATAAATGTCTTAAACCGTTTCTTAACAGTGGCGTACAACTAGCTTTATTGTTAATTTTAAGTCTCTAACTTCTAATTTTACGAAAGAATATAAAAATATATTTTTAATAGTCTTTCATAAAAGTCTTTAATAAGAAAGTTAAAATATTTAGCTATATAGACAAGTTTTTTTACCGAAATGTTAATACAATATCTGGATACTTCATTTATGTTAACAGGATGTTTGGCACATTTTTCGCAAAAAAATTATGCGCAAGCGCGCATGCTTTCGCGGTCACTACACGCAATCGACAGATTTTGGAATAAGCGACTTGCTAAACAGCTACTTGATTATAACAAAGTGACACAAACTGGCGTAAGCACCAATTAATAAATGATCACTGTAAAGTAATACGGTATAAACGACAGAGATGTATTAAAATAGTAAATGGTAGTAATAGTAATAGTAGTGGTAGTATAAGTAACCGACATTTCAATATCAAATTTGATTATAGTAATTGTGTATTAGCGACAACTGTATGTTAAACTTGTAAATAGTAGTAAGGTATAACCGACTGTTCAATATTAAATTAGATTTTATTTATTGTGTATAAGCGAAAACTGAATGGTAAACTTGTAAATGGTGGTATGATAGAACCGACGCTTAATATTTGTGACGACAAAGGTAAAGAGGCATTAGTTCCAACTTTCAATGCAGGTGCTAATGATAAAGAGCAGTATGCGACCAGAATCCATACACCAGTGAGAAGTAAAAATACATAACCGACTTTAAACCAGAAGTGATGCTATTTTTACAGGGTTAAAAGCGCCTTAAGGGTAAAAAAGGCCTAAAACTCGGTCGGTTATACCGAAATGACACTTCGTAAACCCAATTTTTTGCTTGGGCATAAGCAACAAAAAAGTCATTGTAGAGCCATGGGAGTAAGTGCATTCGAAAAAGTGGAAAATTTTAAGTGGCATTCAAGAGTCATTTTAGACGAAAATTTCGCTTATGCCCTATTACCTTTTATCCGTCCATATTATAATCAATATCATTCAAAGAAAAAAAGAAAATACGGAAATTATTATTATTTATTAATAAATAAATCATAAATTATGTTTCTTATAATTTTAATTATTACAAATATGAATTATTAATTATTATTAATTTATTATTTTTTCACCATTTTTAATGTTTCTTTTTTGTCAATAATTAAAAAATTACTTCTCATTTTACTAGTTACCGACGGCAGCGCGGCTATAAATTCACAGGTGGGCTATGCTTTAGTACGTAGCGATCGTTCTCCTGTCATCTAACCTCCATAGTTAGGAAGAAGGAGAACGATCGCCGTAAAAAATAGTGTCCCAGAAATATAGTCAAAATAAATGCGGCGCTGCGATCGCAAAAATGTCTCGATAAAAGTCATTTTCTCTATTTCTTCTCTTTTTCTTCTATTTCAGTCTATTTTTTCGATCAGATGCTAAACCACGCACAATACAATATTTCATCATTTTTAATGTCTCTTTAAAAATTACGGAGCACGAATATTTTCTCACCAATGCTAGGAAGAAAACTTGTACATTATTCAGCTAACTTCATCTACTTGTTCCCATAAATAGCTAACTTCGCAGATACTACTTACCGACGGCAGTTCAGGGACAGGCGGGCTATGCTTTAGCACGTAGCGATCGTTCTAACTTCGCATATACTATTTACCAACGGCAGTTCAGGGACAGGCGGGCTATGCTTTAGCACGTAGCGATCGTTCTCCTTCTCTCTAACCTCCAAGGACTTTGTTCTTGTTAAGATTCGCCACTTTTGGAGTTTTGGCGGAAACTTGACCGTAGACGGATTGTCGCTCCTGTTTTGTCGTACAATCCTGACGAACCTTGTGTAACCTTTTTCTCATACCATGTTCAATAACAGGCACTGGGTATTTTAACAAGATTCGGGGTCAGCTCATAGAGCGAAGAGCACACAAGACTGGCTGGCGGCACGTGAAATCGACTTCATCCGGCACGAAGACTGGCCCTCCTCCAGTCCAGATTTGAATCCGTTAGATTACAAGATATGGCAACACTTGGAGGAAAAGGCGTGCTCAAAGCCTCATCCCAATTTGGAGTCACTCAAGACATCCTTGATTAAGGCAGCCGCCGATATTGACATGGACCTCGTTCGTGCTGCGATAGACGACTGGCCGCGTAGATTGAAGGCCTGTATTCAAAATCACGGAGGTCATTTTGAATAAACTATAGTGTCATAAGAATCTATGTTTTGTTAAGTTTATTTTGGTATATAAATGGTTACATAATGAATAAACTTGTTACAATTATTTTATATTAAACATGTGATAGAATTTATGACCTGACTAGGTAATATGCAATTTGGGTACAGATGATAAACCAGGGTCACATTGGGTAGCTTTATATATCGATACGAATGACGTCGGTCAATATTTTGATTTATATGGACGAGCACCTGTACGATATCATCTAGAGTTTTTAAAAAGTAATTGTAAAAGATGGAACTGGAATGTTGATAGGATTCAGAATGAGTGGACTTCAGTTTGTGGCGAATATTGCTTAATGTATTTGCTATATAAGTTTCAGGGATGTTCAATGCATTGTTTTACGAATATATTTACAGGAAACACATTGTACAACGATATTTTAATGGATGAGATGTTTCGCTCCTATTTTATAGATAATAAGTAATAAGATTTTGTATTTTATAAATAAAAATTTTAACAAAATTAGGTAATGTGTTTTATTGTTGATTCAGATTAGTGTTGTAGATAGGAACAAAGGAGTATAATACAATAGCACTGATGAGCCGACGCACACGCTGACGAATAATAGATAATGACGGTATTCAATGAACAATAGATACGAACAATGGAGCGCTAATGACGGTGGAGGCCCGCACCGGATATCAATTAGATAAGAGTTAATTGATCTGCACATCTCCGGAACCGTGCATCCTACGCAAAAATGGATTTGGATTTGGACGCAGATTCGTGATCAGAGCATGCCAAAACCTTTTTTTTTTTTGGATCGTGAGTCGACGAACATCGTACTTGTACCACTTCTGACTCAGTGCGCCAGAACTGGTACAACGTAACTACTTACGGACGTATCCCGATAAATTCTTTGAATACACGAGAATGTCATTAGATACTTTTAACTGCATATTAAATAAGATCTCACCACGTTTAGTCAAGATTGACACCAATATTTCTTCCCATAATTTATTTATTTATGGCTACCCTATTTGAATGTTGCAGATGTTTGCTCTGCCAAATAGCAGTGCGATGTTGTACTGCAGATATAAATTCTTCCGTATTGATATCCATGATGATTGACGACGCTTCGTCGGGTGAATCAAAATGGTTTAATACCAAAAGCGTAGTCACCTAACAGACGCTATATCACTGTGAACGATGCGCGCGGACTGAGCCATTAGAAACACCCGCGCCCGCGCCCGCCTCATTCAGACGCGCGGCTCTCGGGAGCACTCTGAATGCAACTGGCGTCTACATACATTTTGATATACACGCGCCCGTGCTGGCACCCGCGCCCGCACCACTCTGAAAGAGTATTAAACAGGCTCTCATTACCTCCCAACAACACGCGAGCTGCGAGGCGAGAGTATAAACGGACTATTAGGTGTCCCGGAAACGATGCTGCTATACTCGGTCTTCAGCTTCGACAGTTGGCTCTTTCTGGCAAAGACTTTGGAGCCCTGGTTCTGCTCAATCGCTTCTTCAGTACGAGCTGTAATGAAGTTGCGTACGTCCCGCCGCATGCATTTGGAGATCTGTCTGTTCAGTTGCCTGTATGCTGTCAAATCTGTTGAAGACTGCAGCTTCATTTCCCGTCTAACAGCCATGAGACTAAGAGTAAACTTCATGTAACGTTACAAAAATTTAACGACAAACTCCCTAAAGCATCAAAACCACTCAGTTTTGGTGGGTTTGTCCTCCATACAATGATACCCTCTATATAGCATTACACCAGTCTCAATAACGACAACAATTAAATAATATAAAGTACATTTTAAGTAGCAAAAATGAGTAAAAACTACACAGCTGTATATGTTCTTTTGGCGCTTTATTATCCCAGCACGTAATAAACTCGACTGTCAGACTCCGTTGTTCCGAATAATATAAGAATACATTAAAAATCAGTTCCGTTGTGTTTATTTACAAATTGGGATTGCTTGCACGTGTAGACTGTTGTATGTTGTTGTTTTGTAGTAGGAATCATGGATTATCTATACGTTATCATCTTGAACGAATTAACTACTGGACCCGACATAAAACACAAATGTATGAAAACTCGTTCAACCAAGTGGAGAATAACGCGCACGAAGATTTTATTACGTTAATATAAACACAGATACGAAATTCGTAGAAGTTTACTCTATTTCTAGTGCTTGATCGTAGTCGATAATATATATCGATGAACGAATGAGAAAGAAAAGGCGTATCATAAATAAGCTGTAAAACAAAGGAAATAAAGGGATAATGAAGGTCAGGTAAGCTTCCGTATTTAAATTTTAATTAAAATAAAAGAAGCAGGACATTTTTATGGACTTTTTATTCAATTATAGTTATGATAAAAGTCAAATGTTTTGTTGAGTTTAAATTATTTTAGTAGGTTTACTGACTTTTATTATGTATCATCTTTCTTAAAATGTGTTTCTTAGAATTTGTTTTGTTCGCTTGTTTTCTTATATAAGCAATTCTAATATTTAAATACTTTTCAGCAACGGCTTTCGTTGATTTTTCGACGTGATTAACGTCGTCATTTTCAAATTTATGGAAATGAATGTCTTCGTACAACGGAAGTTGCAGCAATGTTTCTGTTACTTTCGGCAGAAGAAAGTCTGTTGTGTAATCTTTTTTTAGTCTTTTATTCTGAATACCCTTCCTAAGTTCGAGTTCGCAGTGCTAACAATTATGGTATCACTTGAGGGAAGTATCAGTTTTCCCTTGTCTTTATGGGCAATGAGACTGCCTTCATTGGTGTCATTTTCTGTTTCTTTGCATTAGTATTAAAACAGGCAGTATCGAAATGTACACTGCATATGGCGCTGTGTTTCGTCGGAATCCAGGCTTCATCTTTACGAACTGCTTCTACCCACTTTCTCTTCCGAGAAGGGTCACTAGGAAATCTGAAAATTCGTGTAATTTATGTGTTTAAATATTTTAAGTACAGATACTAATTATAATTTTTGCATTTATAATATTTTTATTTAATTATAAAAATTATTATTATAAATTTAATGACATCGGATTGTAGGATACTGTTATTTAAGTATTTTAAGTGTTATTGTATTGTACAAATAACATCATCATTCATTAGGTCATATTGTCAAATATAGATATATTTTTCGACATGGTCAAGCAATAGTCGATGTCAAATTGACTCACTCCACAGTCCACAGTTCTGAATGGTATAATCCAGCCATTTTGTGATGGTTGTCAGATGTCAACAATACATAGAAATAAATAAATAAATTAATTTAACATAGTTGGATAATACAAAATGTTATTTTAAATTTGATTAAATTTTGTGATAAATAACCATAAATGTAATAAAATAATGTACTTACAAGTGTAAAAAAATAGTGCTGCTTCCGCCGCTATAGTTTTTACACCATTTAACCTTTAATCGTACCACGCCCGCCGTAACAAAAAACAGCTTTGTACCGGGGCCTCAGTCGTCACCTCAGCTGGCGGCACTTGTTATAAACATTTATATTTCTCACGACCTTTCCTTTATGTTTAAAGTGGTTTTAGTTACAGTTATTTGAAGCCGATAAGATTTTCGATAAGTAGAAACAATAACCATAACATTTAAATGTTTATTTTATTTTGTACAGCTCTTTGTTTCTAACGGATCTTGATAAAGTGTATTACTGACAATAAATTTTATTTTATGAATGACATAAGTTTTTATTTTATTTTTATGTTCTTACAATCAATACAACATAATCTTTCTAAATGAACCGAAATTATGCATGTAATAATTATAATAATTCTACTTTTTCACTTGCAAACATTTGCTAAATATTCGACAATAGAGAGTTTGCGCGCGCTTTTTTAAACTCATTTTCAAAACCTTTTTGTGTATATATTTTATAGCGTCTTCCTTTATTTTTCTTATACAATCATATAGATATAACATTTAGCAATTCCTAGTAAAAGTATTTACTATGGTATTCCAATAAGAAATATACTATTATTATCTTATTAGAAATCTTGACCGTTATGAATTGTTTGCGTAGAGGTTTTTTGTTTCTACTTTTTTATCAATTGAAATATAAAAAGTTACTGTTGTTGTAACTTAAATCAAAAAAGAAAAGTAAGTGTGTCAATAGAATAAACACTTAAAATTGCAATTAACAATTTAATTGGTGCCGGCGGGAATCGAACCCGCGTACTGTGAAATTTACAGCTTGCGCTAACCATCTGAGCTACCACGGCTTAATCATATACACACACACACACACACACACACACACACACACACACACACACACACACACCCATATTTAAATATAATTTGTTAACACTAAATCATACACACGTAAGAAAATAACAGAAAGAAAAGTAAGTTTGTCAATAGATTAAACACTTACATCTATGGCCTTTGATGCGTTGAAGTAACACAAATGTAGTATTGATGGATCCACTGCGGTCAAACGACCATACACTAACTCCATGACTGCAGTTGCTTGGTCTTATATAGTACCAGTAAGTAATAATTCTAATCTAAAGAATTTCTGCAGTGGAATTGATAATAACTTTATGCGTCAACAAGCTTATGTCACATTTTGTTGCTTATCTCAACATTAGGTCGTGTCGCGTCTTGTTCAGTGTATTGATGACTCAAATACGTTTTGTATAACACAAAATAATGCATTTTAATATTTAAAAATCACTATAATTGATCATTCCTATGTTAGTCATTGAGTAGATTGTACTGTAATAATCTACTAATAGCAGTAATATCATGGATACACTAGATGTACAGCAACATCTGAAAAAGATTCACCCCAGTCTAGAAAATAATGTTTATGCTGCTAATAGACTGCCCATGTACACCCACGTACCAACGTATATACCTAGTCAGGTCATAAGTATTGTCACACAGTAAAAACTTTTCTTTTAGAATGCTGGCCACAAAAAAGTTTATTGAATTGGAATTGTTAATGAAAATAAAACTGTATACTTTTTAGAATTTTACTCATTTTTAAATATGGAGTGGACGCTTAAAGAAGACCATGTTGCAGTTATTGCGTTGCATCGTTGCGGTTACGCGCCAATTCAAATTTTTGACATACTGAAAAATTTTAATATAACCAAAAGATTCGTTTATCGTACCATCAAACGATACAATGAAGACTCTAGTGTAGATGACAGGTCAAGAAGTGGTCGCCCTCGTTCTGTTAGGACTCCAGGTGATAAAAGCTGTGAAGACGCGAATTTAAAGAAATCCCAAACGTAAGCAGAAACTGTTGGCCCTTCAGATGGGGTTAAGCAGAACCACGGTGAAAAGGGTGTTAAATGAAGACTTAGGGCTTCGGACATATCGAAGAAAAACAGGACATCGTTTGAATGCTCGTCTAATGGACCTGAGACTGAAGAGATGCCGCGCTTTGTTGAAGCGGTACGCGGGAAAAAAATTATCGGGATATTCTTTTTTCGGATGAAAATTTTTTTACCGTAGAAGAGAGCTACAACAAACAAAATGATAAGGTGTACGCACACAGTAGTGAAGAAGCGAGCAACCGTATTCCGCGTGTCCAACGAGGTTATTTTCCATCCTCGCTCATGGTATGGTTGGGAGTTTCTTATTGGGGCTTAACAGAGGTACATTTTTGTGAGAAAGGTGTAAAACGAATGCAGTTGCTTATCAAAATACAGTCCTGACGAACCTTGTGTAACCTGTTTCTCATACCATGTTCAATAACAGGCACTGGGTTATTTCAACAAGATTCGGGGTCAGCTCATAGAGCGAAGAGCACACAAGACTGGCTGGCGGCGCGTGAAATCGACTTCATCCGGTACGAAGACTGGCCCTCCTCCAGTCCAGATTTGAATCCGTTAGATTACAAGATATGGCAACACTTGGAGGAAAAGGCGTGCTCAAAGCCTCATCCCAATTTGGAGTCACTCAAGACATCCTTGATTAAGGCAGCCGCCGATATTGACATGGACCTCGTTCGTGCTGCGATAGACGACTGGCCGCGTAGATTGAAGGCCTGTATTCAAAATCACGGAGGTCATTTTGAATAAACTATAGTGTCATAAGAATCTATGTTTTGTTAAGTTCATTTTGGTAT